TTTCAACAAAAACACTATCAGTTTACAAAAGAGAAGCACGAGGCCTCTTATCTTCAAAATATTTATTGCTACCCCCCCCCCCCCCCCGCCCCAGTTTCACGCTGGCCCTGGACCTTTCCAGTGTGGGCTATCTGGCCCCCACACTCAAATGAGTTTGAGACCACTGCCCTAGGATACTGTTTGCAGTTTGTAGCGGACAAGCAGGCTTGGCTAGGAGAAAGAGGACATGTAACAAAATCTTTGTTCTTGTGAACTTACATTCAACCTGAGCAAACCATACCTGACTCTATTGAAAAAAACAACAACTTAAGCTGGTCCCAGCTTCAAGCTGGGTTATTGCCCCAGCATGCCCCATTTGGCATGCTGGTCATGTTGGTTGATCTGGTCATACTGGTCATGGTGGTTGATCTGGTTATACTGGTCATGGTGGTTTATCTGGTCCCAGCTTCAAGCCCCAGCATGCCCAACTTGGGATGTTGGTCATGATGGTTGATCTGGTCCCAGCTTCAAGCTGGGTTATTGCCCCAGCATGTCTAGTTCGGCATGATGATCATGTGTGTTAAATTGGTCATGCTGGTGAACTTGGCAACCAGTTTCACCTTTTTAAATTAATACGCGGGATAAACAAGCCAAGCTCTTCAGAAAAGCCAACTCAGCATCCCATTTATTATTTTTGTACTAGCGGCCTGCTCACATGAGCTCAGATGCTACATATCCTCGGCGATGACAAAGTACAACGGACGCACAGACAGCGGTTCTCGGTGCAAAGCGAACAATGTTATTAAAACTAGATTGCTTATCTCTCAACACAAAAAACACTGAAAATGGCAAAGAACAGAACACAGAAAAATAGAAAATACCACACAGATGTCAGAAGCGAACCTGGTTCCCGCCAGTGATGGCGGCAAAGCGGCCTCTTGCGTATTCGGCAGAGGCGGGGATATCCGTGTGGCTTGGATGGCATTGGCAAAACTCCTCGGCACCACCGTCATTCACGAGAACACACACGTTGAAAGACACGACGCGACGCCTCAGTTGGGGCATCCGAATTTTTCCCGCGCTGAACGGACTTCTGCTTCCCTATTGAAAAAAACAGTATGATTCTCAACCCGGCATACCCGAATTTGAACTGGGCAAAATGGAAATCGAACTGATTAAACTGGCGATATAAGAAAACAAACTGGCCGAATTGGAACATTAACAAGCCAAACTGGCACCTTAACCTGCCAAACAGGCAGCCAGACTTGCCAACCATGCAGACAAACTTGCCAAACAGGCAGCCAAACCTGCAAAACAGGTTCCCGAACTGGCTAAACAGGAAACAAAACTGGCCAAACAGGCTGCTAAACTTGCCAAAAAGGAAGCAAAATTGCAAAACGGGCAGCGGAACTTGCCAAATGGGAAGCAAAACTTGCCAAACTGGGGAAACAGGCAGCTGAACTTGCCAAACAGGCTAAACTGAGTGCTAGACAGGTGAAAGTGGTAGCAGAACTGGTCCTACTGGTATTCAAACTGTTCAAAATGGTGACTGAACTGGTTACACTGATAATCAAACTGTTTTTCAAACTTGTAGCAGAGCATTGTGGTGGAACTGATCAAACTGGTAGCTAACTGCTCAAACTGGTAGTCAAACTGTTCAAATTGGAAATCGAGCTCCTCTAACAGGCAGTTGAACTATTCAAAATCGTGTATATATACCGAAGAAAGGTTGTTTTATAATCTGCCTAGCAGCACACTTTGGTAAATTACTTCATAAATGTAATTTAATTATAGTTACAACGTTTGCCGCCTTTTGCTCCAGCTTCCCAGAGCTGTGGTCTAAACAAGCAAAACTATACCTTTGTCCGAAATAAGGTAATTACAATTAGAACTACTGGACAAAAAGTAATTCATTGCAATTTACATTACTTTTAGAAAGTCAAAAATTTGGGGGTTTTACGTGCCAAACCAACGACGGGCATCTGGCACGCCCCAGCGGAGGACTGAGGATTAATTTCGACCACCTGGGGATCTTTTGACGTGCAACCGAAAGCTCGGTTACACGGCGTCTTCTCCACAATAAGCCTCCGTCAGATTGCGGGCACCTCGGCCGGGATTCGAACCCGCCACATGGGGATCCGTAGGCCGACGCTCTCGCCTCGGAGCCACCGAGGCGGCTACTTTTAGAAAGCAATTTCACAATGACATTACTTTCTTTGAACTTTGAACCACGCCGACGTGGTTCAAAAGGCTCTGTCCGCTAATGCTGCCGACCACCTGCCAGATTCTGCAAAGGCTGTTCGACAGTAGTACTGTGCCAGGAACGTGGCAATGAGCTTTGGTCACTCCGCTACACAAGGGAAAAGGAAGCCGACGAATGAACCAAAACATTACCGTCCTGTGTCAATCACCTCGATTGTCTGTCGAACATTTGAAAGGATAGTTAACAGCCAGCTTCTCAACCACGTTGAAGAATCCGGCTATCTCTCCGACAGTCAGAATGGCTTTCGAAGAGGTCGCAGCTGCGAATCAGCACTGGCAACTATTACCCATTTTATCAGTGATCACATGGATAATCGAACCATGAGAGATCTAATCCAACTTGACCTAAGCAATGCATTTGATATGCTCGACATTAACCTCCTGCTTGAGAAGCTTACACACGCAGGCATACACGATTTCCTATTCACCTGGATATCAAGCTTTCTGCAGAATCGCAGCCAACAAGTTGTGTACTGTGGGGCACGCTCTACAGAGAGGGTCATGTCATCAGGAGTGCCACAGGGCTCTGTCCTCGCTCCGACGCTCTTTCTCATATTCGTGAACGACATGCCACGCAATGACAAGTGTATCCTAGTGCAATACGCAGACGATACATCAATCGCGATGACAATTTCGTCCCAGTTTGACGCACGTCACTTGCAAAACCATCTAGAAGATGTAGAGAGATGGATCTCGAGACAACACCTAAGCCTGAGCGCATCCAAGAGTTCCGTGATACGTTTCTCAAACTGCAAAAAACAGACAATTGCCTTGTATATACTGTAGCAGGCACTCCACTGCGCACATCAGACCACCTGCCTATCTTAGGTGTCACGTTTTCCCAAAACTTGGATTTTTCCGCACATATTGCCGGCATTATCGCGCAGTCTTGCAGGACGCTTGGCCTCATCACCCGCGTCGCAAGGCCAGGTGGGCCAGCGGTCCTGCAGGCACAATATACATCCTTAGTCCTGCCTTCATTGGAATACTGCTCTGCATGCAGTTTGGTCTCCCCCTCAACAACATCTAATTGAGAGACTGTAGAGCGTGCAGCGCCGTGCAACCCGCAAAATTTGCGCCTGGTCCCTGGCATGACTGACGTGCCGTACCACGCACGGCTCAGAAAACTTGGCTGGCGGCCCCTCGATCAGAGACGAAAGATTTCTCGAGTCTGCGTGCTGTGCCGATTGCTCAATGAATCTCTTTCGGGGACTCGCCTATCGGCCGCCGTGCGTCTCGGTAGAAGATCAGGTCAGCTCGAACTTCTTCGAGGCAGGACTGTTCGTCACAGCGAATCCCTACTGCCCGCCGCCATTAGAGACTTTTTGACCATCCCATTAGCTTCTCGTAGCCCTCTGCCCACATCACACGATGAATCCCGGGAACTTTGCAAGGTATTTGCGAGACGAATGCCTTCGCATCTGCAGACATCATGATCTTCACTCCGTCACCCTCTCCTCTTGAATCATCACCATTGCCACCGCCACCAGCAACATCATCGTCATCACCACCACCTCCATCATCACCGCCATCATAATTTTAATGCTTAATTCTAAAGCTGGGTAGTATTACTCCCAACGGACACAGCAGCAGGCTGGCAGAGACACACGCGTAAGGGTTTTTGCCTATCTGCTTTGCTTGGCAGACCGCCGTGTACGGACCAATTTAAGTGCAAATAAATCACTCAGTCAATTACCATCCTTTGAGATACCCGACGTCAATACTTTCATATAACAGCATATGTCGGTCCGAGACCTATAGCAAAAATCAGATCTGTAAACTATGGCACTGTACTTTACTACCTTAGTTTCGCAAGGTCGTGGATTTCATTAGTGATGTGATAAAAAATACTTGGCTCAGTCAAAAGTTACGAAGGAATACACAAGAATACTCATTCCGAAACCAAAAAAGCATCCTCGTAGGCCATTAAAACGTTTTATTTAACAAAAAGTGCAAGGGAAAGAAAAAGCTCTCATCTTACTGGTGTTCCCCGTTTTTGTTCATAAAACGTTCCAGTGGACCAGAACGTTTTCTAGCTTTGAGAGGAAAAGGCTTAACCACATGTCGGCTCATGCAACTTTTTATGTTTTTATTTGTAACTTTTGACTCGAGCAAGTTTCATCAATATTATCACATATAAAATTTCCACCACCTAGCTGAACTTGTATGGTAAATTACAGTGTTGTACTTCAGAAATCCGAATTTTAGGTCTATTTAAGTCTGGGCCCGACACACAGACCACCCGGTAGTGGTCTTTATCCCTTAGTGCAATCAGGCAGCAGTGCTTTATTTTTCTTTCCACTTTAGTACATTTGATAATATGCAATGCTTTACACAATAAAACCATTTTGACAGAATATAGCATCTAAAACAAGCAGCAAAGGACATAAATAGAACATGGTTGATGACAGTGAAGTTCAACAATGACAAAGCATGAAATGCAACGACTCTGCATCATTACCCAAAAGAAGGTATTACCCTCTTTAGAGGTCTGCTCAAGCGCAGCACAGCAAACTCAAGCCAAAAAGTGCACAAACATGCACCACCAAATGCATTTTAAGTTTGAAAGAGAAAAGTAATGAAGTATGTGCGATCACATGCAAGCGGTAATATTCTTCGGTTCTATCCACAACCCCTACCCATTTCGATCTGGATGAGCATCGTGCTGGCACATGTTTGTGTATTACTATTGCATGATGCACATTAAAGACCCGAGTCTAGCGGTTACACTGCACTGGCTAAATTGCTCATTTACAGCATAGAGAGCTGTCGCATCACTTAAATGGCAGATAGACATTGCGCTCTTTAAAACTGATAGTGTATGTGGCCCATTAAACTGTTAATTAAAACATCAATCAACACATTTTGATTAATTAGTCAAAATATTGTGACGTTTATCCACTCATCTAATGTCTGCCGAGCCCCAGAAGTACACAGAGAAGACGGAATCTATGTACCCAACACACGCTTTTTTAAATTCTGTAAAGAATGAGGAAAAAAAAGCCCTGTATACATGTTAAAGAACTTTAGTCCCTCTCAATTTTGTTCGGCATGTCACACACAAAGCACTTGCTGTCAGCCGGAAACACCATGAAAAGGCAGTTGGCCTTAATGTCCTCGGGTTTCAGCACCTTACAGATGTCTACCTGCGAAGGAAAACATTCCTTTATATGCTCAGGAAAGAGTGGTGTCTCCCGTAACACCAGCCGTCTGCAAAGGAGCGTGCACCCGAGACCAGCAACATGGAGAATTCTCTTAATTCTGAAATACTCCCCATCAGCAGTTGACACTACAGTGGTGTCACTCTTTGAAGCTCTTGTGTATGCGGTGCTATGGAACACCTGCCCCTTGTACACAAAACGCTGGTATTCCAAAGCGCTGCCAACTGTGCCTGTCCCACCGTAGACCTCTAGCGCACGTTCCTCGATAGCTGTTAGAATGGCAGCTTTTTCACGTCCTAGCAAGCATGCTTCATCAACATAGCAGGCATTCTGGATGTGTGAATAATCAAGAAATCTTTCACACACACTCCGCTCATTGGCAGTGATTGCCACGTTGCTATCTGCCAGAAGGCATTCAAGCTGCTGCGTCATTACGACTCGCTCTACGATTTGATCCGGAAGTCCTCTAGCTGCAGAGACCAGCTTCACCAACTTTCCGTTTCCTCCCTCGAAAACAAATGCGGATTGCGCCCAAAGTGGTCCCAACTGACGCACGGAGTTTGGCAGGTGGAGGAGCTGGTGCACGTTGAACGTAAGCGAAGCCACTCCATACAAGGCCTCACAGCGACCAACAAAGTCGATCAGCAGATTTTCTGAAAACAAAAAAAGAAGCATGCACAGGATATAATCTCAGACTATAAAATGAATGCATAACATTAACTGAAATTTCAAATGCCGTGCAGCTCATTGGATGATTTTTGGGTGTGATTTCCTACCACAGTTACCTGATTTGCATGCTCTGAGACTTTACACACAACATTCTGTCTAATCAATGCGGGTAGATCTTGACACTCCCATGAGACTGTCATACGGTATAAAAAAAAGACCTTTATGAGGCAAATAGGAGAAAAAAAAGTATGAAGCTTACCTGCACGCTTGATCTCGTCGGCTGTGATGGTCTCACGTAGCAAGATGTGTATTGCTTGCGAGAGCTTGGAGAGATGTTTCCAATACTCCAGAGGCAGAATGTCCACGAGGCAAGGAAGAGCGTAAAACAGAAGCCAGAGTCTCCACTCTGACGCTTTCCAGAAACTGCGCTCGTTGAGTGAACGAGGCAGCCTTGTCACACAGTGTGGTGGCTTGATCTGGAGGAGGCGGCTGTTGACCCGTGCCACGCAGGGTGGTGCTCCTGTAAGCAACATAAGTGACTGGGCACATGAGTAATTTATCTTGCTTTAATAACCATATATGAGGCTGTGTACAAAGTACAACCACTCGAAAATGTATTCATGAAAGTTCGCCTCCCCAGAATTTTGAGGCTCAAACCCGAGGTTCAAAAGTGAAAAGTCAAACCCTGAGGTTTAAAGAGGTTTGAGAAATTTGAGAATCAATCTTCCTAACATTTAAATTCATTACGCTAAAAAATATGACAATTTTCAAACTCTTCAATTTGAAAAGTTCAATGAACCTCGAAGGTCAGTCGAATTTCTCCAACGCCAGGCTGTAATGAAATCAGTTTTACCTGTTTTGATTGGGCTAAGCTTTGGAAAAAAATTGTATCTATCTGTTCATGCATGCAGACTATGCGAACATAGGAACAAGCACATATCAGACAACAGGTCAGCTCGATGTTTGATCTGGTTTCGGCATGGCCAAAGCGACGTGGTACAGAAAGTCCATTTCACAGCGAAGTAGAAGCTTACGCTACATGTTAACAAGTGGTGACAGCACTGTATGTTTGTCAGCTTCTGCAAATGTGGTTGTGGGTGGTCTCAAAAGCCATAGATCAAGCATGTGCAGTGCGCCGTGCAAGTACAAAGAGTGACAATCAGCAAAATACAGTGGACATAACATAAAGCATATATTGGATGCACTCTGGCCATCAAAGATGGGCAGCCATGCTATGATTTTGCAAAACACAAACTAAAATTGAATGCCGTGACCATTTTGAAGAAAATCAACGTTGTTTTGTAAATAAACATGCTAAAATGACACTGTTACCATTACTATACGTAATATTTTTATTAGCTGCAACAAAATTTAAAAAAAAAGAAAATGGGAGGTAGGGTGAATTGGGCCCGGGGCATGGTGGCCACTAGAAAAAAGGCAAATTTGGGTAATTAGTTAGCTAATGAACTAAGCTTGACCTTATAATGGTTTAGCCGTGCCGTCAAATTCTCGTTAAAAATTTGTGAACGCTACAGGGCCGAGAAATGTCACCCTGGTACACGGTGCCAAGTTGAAACTAAGAGAGCAAAAGCGCCGGTGACTTCATTGCTTTGTGTCACACTGCTGATGTCAGCTGCGGTGCGGGCACGTGGGTTGAAGCTATCGCAGCCGGCTTGGCTTGTTTAAGTGAAGCCGGCTGCAATAACGTCGATTCACGTGCCCCGCCACAGGGGACGTCAGCAGTGTCATGCAAAGCGATGACATTACCGGTGCGATTGTCCGCTTTGTTTCAGTCCGATGCTCAGTACCGTGACATTTCTCGACCCCATAGTGCCTACCACAAATTCTTTAATCAAAATTTAATGGCACCGTTAGACCATATTGAGGTCAAGCCTACATCCTCTAGACATATTAGGTGCACTCAAGTGAAAAACTGAAAAGTTAATATAACATTTGAGTTAGTCGCTAACAATTGTTACCTAATTTCGCCTTTTTTTCTAGTAGCCACCATGGCTACTAACACTGCCTCAGGGCTCACATTACCCTATTTCATGTTTTATTTTTTTGAAAATTTGGAGCAGCTAACAAAGACACCTGTATCGATAACATTTTGCTTAGCGATTGTTATATGTATCTGTAAATATACTTAGTTTTAGATACATATTAAAAAATGTGACAAGCAGCTGTAGAGCTAATCAAAATCGGTCAACCAGCCTGGCAATTCTATTTTGCCCAATCTATGCCTAATCTTCTTGAAGGTTAAGCTAAAATTCTGATTTTCCAGATCTGGAGATTTGGCAAAACCTTGGCAACCACTAATGGCTATTGTGTCAGCTTCAAAGTGGACGAAAATGCTGCTATATATAGAGTTACACCTAGAAGATATTCTGATAAAAATGATTAATAGCATGAAGATGAATTTGAGACTGTGCGAAACCCAGACCCCATAAAATTTGTACCTTGCGATCTCGGACTGAAAGTCCGAGGTTGCAAGGTTCAAAGTATTCAATATCTTCAAACTTTCGAACTCGAACCTTGGGAGGTTTGCAACATCTTTAGGTTTGCCCGGACTGTGGAGCTAGTAACAAGGGGGGGACCCTCACTGGAGAACTCCCTGCTTCTGCTCAGTGGGCAAGTAACGAGCAGGAAACGCGAATAGTACTAGTATGTAAAGATTCAAGTCAGGAATTGGCCTGGTAAACACCATTAAGGTAAAAATAGGTCGAAGAGGTGCCACAAATTATGAAAAGAGCAACTTATGCGCCAACTTGTAACTGGAAATGAGACATTTTGGTACTGTACGACGTACCTATGTAGAACCGTTTTTGAGAGTTGGATGAAGAAAGCAGCAGTTCTGTAAACTGCTTTGCTGCTCCTTGAAGAACGGCGTGCATATACTCGACGCTCACTCCGGCCACAAGATCAAATCCTGAAAGTAAATGTTACATGTCTCTCAGTTTCTAACTCTAGGGACTGCAAAAAAGCATGCAACTGACAAATCACAAGTTCAATAATTCCAAGAGTATAGCTGGTAACAGTTCATGACATTGAATCTTTTAGTGTACCTCCTGCTTTTTCGGTGAAAGAAAAAATATTAGTATATTAACTCCGCAAGTATGCTGGTCAGCTACTCTGTGAATTGGAAAATCAAAACATCAATTAGGTGTTCCAAAAGGTTTCTCTGAAACCGAAATAGAGTACAATTTTATTGAACGGTCGATTGCCGATCAGAGAATATTGACAGGTTTTACCATCGAAAACCATTACAAAATGCTCTTCTTAGCGCTTCGTACAAATGAGCATGGACGTGAATTTCAGAAGAAATTTGCGTGTATGTACTGCCTCTACTGTCTGTTTCAACGGCATCTTTCTTAGAGACCACTGTTGGCTAAGCTTATGAGAAAAAAAAAAAAATTAGGGGGGAGGTGGCACTCTTACAAGCATAGGAAGGCAGAATGCTAGCCCTGCCTCTGCCGTGGCCCTATGAATTTTTCCCCAAGCTTTGCAAAGGAGGGAAGGAAGGGAACAGTCTTGTCTTACTCTTGAGATTACACAGCAACCACAAAACTTGTGGCTCAGCAGTGTTACGTGTGAGTATACTTGTGTCACGCTTGTGTCAGTATGCTTGTGCAAAGTACTTCGCATCTTTCAGTTGGGCGCCACTGATCACCGATTTTTCCACTGTTGCAGCCTGAAATAAGTATTGGCTTGCAAACTTAAAATAGAAAATTAATTCACAGCGCATCCAAGTAGCCCGTCGTAACATCAGCTAACAGACCTTGGGGAGAAATTGGGGGCACGGCTGTGGTCATCTTCGCTGAGCATCTGCTACTGAACATTTGCAAATCAACAGTGCATTGAGAGTACAAAAGTATGTAGTTCATAATCTCAGAAAGTAAGAATGTAACATATCAGAGTACAGTCGGAACCCAAAGAGATTAGCACAATTAAGTGATCAACGTGCGGAGCATTGTGCTATTCGAAAACAGAATCAAAATCACAAAGATTTTGTGTGACTAATGCTTTCTGTTCTCAGTGTGAAACAGTTTGCTTCGATCGCTTGAACCTTGGATAATCTCACCCTGTTCTTTAGACATTCAGGGAAAAAGCCACACCTGGTAGATTCATTAGCGGAGAAGGACCCTTGATTCCATTTATGGTGATCCCCAATCTCAAGGAAAGCTGCATATCTCGGACCACAAGCTCAGATGTTCTTGGAGCCGGTGGTTCCTTGGGCACGTAGCGCATGCTTCCTGTGAATAAAAATAAACGAAAATATATTATGAGGTTGCACCCAGTAGGCTCAGAAAAACATAATGTTTAGTTTGAACTGCAATGTGCACGTGCAAGAAGACCGATACATACCTTCCAGGTGTTCCCCACTTATGAGGCACCAGGGACATCCAAACGAGCCGTTGAAAAGTACCATGTTCTGAACTGCTGCCCTCGCAGGTGCGTCGACACAGCAGCAGAGCACATAAGCTCTGGACCTGTGCATCTCAGAGCTATGCTCCCACATCACGGGCGTCATGCTTTTGACTTGATCAACAAACTTTGCAAGGAAGGCAGTCATGTTTGGATGGCCTTTTCCGAACCAAAGTCCGGCTAGTGTGGTGTGCTTGAAGCGGATGCTTGGAGGGAGCTCATTCACAGTGAATTGAATAGGCCAAACAGACGTTTTGGATGACACGAAGAGAGGACTGCCGTCTGTGTTAAAAGTCAAAGAAAGATCACTGTCCCCCATCCCAGTCTTTCTGCGCAGAGCATCATAGGCTTCACCTGTTGTTATGTCAGTGACACCACTTCCGCTTGATGAGGTACTACGTTCCATGGCAAGCTTCAGGAGGTTGTTGTGAAGAAGCTCCTTGGTCTTCTCAATAACGAAGGACAGTTGCTTCGTCATGTCAAGCATTACGAAGTAGGATCCATTCTCTTTTAGCACCTTCAGATCTATCCCTTGCTGGCACACTGAGCAGCTGGCTGCAGTCTCTGCGTCTTCCAGAACTGCTCCACAGCCCTCACAAAGGTAGTAGTGGCGAACCAAGTTTTGCGTCGTTGCTGACCAAAGCTTGCGGAAAGCATATTTGCTTTGCGGCACGACTTGCCTTCCAAACAGGGCATTGATGAGCACGAGCAAAGAATCGAGGCCCGACCACGTCATGCCCTGCGATACGACGTGGGCCATTATCATGGCGATGGCGCCGGCTTTTGTCGTCGTAGAATGGGGAAGTGTCTCCGTCCCGAACTGATTGAAACAGGACGACAGAAGGTGTTCGAGCAAGGGCTGTGGTACAGGGTCATTTCCATTCATCTCGTCATCATCATCTCCATAGTCCTCACCAGAGTTCACGACGTCGTCTTGAACATCGTAGTTCTCGTCGCTAGCATTTAACGATTCCGAACGCTCGCGTTCGGCATCTGTGCTCAATTCGGATTCTTCGGAATGGCAGTCCTCGTCATCAGAATTATTCCCAGCGGATTTTAGTGCTTGGGGAACTCGAGTTAACGGGGTGAGCACGTCATGAGGGGGGTCTCCAGGGTCCTGAGCATCCCTTGTACTGTGAAAATATTGCGTTGATCTAGGCATCACAAAAGGCTCACTCTCTGCCAAGTAACATTTCCGACGCTTGGCACCCGGTGAGCTTTCCATTGCAGCTAAAACTTAACAGACAAAGAACTTGGCGCCACCTGTTGAAAGGATAATGGAGACCATAGTCAATGAGACTTGGATTGACTACGTTCTAGGTGTTTGTGAGCAATCGGAACCCGGTTTCTTACACCGGAAAAATAAAATAGAACTATACTCCGTTTAACCTTCAGTCCGAGCGCAGCGGACGCTAGGAGCCATCGAAGCCAATCCCGCGTAGAGAGAGTGTCATGTGACCTTGAGCTCCCTGCGCCGCTCTGCCCAACCGGCAGGTCACGCGATTTTCTTCCGGCGCTGGATAGGCTGGAATAGCTGGTGGCTCCACTGCGCTTGGACTGATGGTGGAACGGAGTATAGTAAAACGTAGTTCCAGCAAGATGCCAAAATGTCAAGACTTACCAAAACCAAAATAAAAAGTTAGAGGCCAAAAAAAAACTGCTTTCGTCTCTTAAAACCTAGGTGGCGCGAGCTACCGTCCAATATAAAAATAAGTCAATTTTGTTTATTTGTCTATTCATACAGGCGCAGCCAGTGGGCGCAGCCTAGCCAAGCCCAGTCCCTGTCTTGCGCGCGCTTTCTGTCGTCTCTTGCGTGCCTGCGTTTGACCGTCTGCGTCGCCATAATTGCTTTATCGTTGCTTGCCCGCGTCCCCATCATTGCTCGACCGTTAGAGGTGGACGGCTGGACCTCGACCGCCCGTACGCTCGGTTTTTTTGCGTCGCGGGTGTTGTGGGCGTCCGTTGGGCGATGTACGCATTTGTAAAGTTTACCGACGGTGGCCGACTGGTTATGCCGATCTCGATGATAAAGAAGTTTAGGCCTAGGGATGATCAAGACTGCAACCCAAAACAAAAGCTTGAAGCGTTCTGGATCTCTGAGAAAGGAGGGGAAGAAGGCTACTACGAAGCGACGGTGGAGATGCTTGGAGGTGTGTGTATTCGTGTGATACCTTTTTTAAGATACCGTGCTCAGGAATCGTCGGTTCTGGAGATTTTTGTGTGAGCTAATACGCACGTGGAGCAGGGCGGCCGGGCACGAACAAGTGCGCCTTACTTCTAACAAATGCCCCCATCGTTCAAGTACTTGCGCAGTGAAGGCACATGGTTTCACAAAAGCTGTAATTCGGGCTATTTGAAAACGGGTGTTAGAATGCATGTACTGTACTTTTTTAGTGTGAAGGCTGCATTCGAGGAACAAAAACAAAGGTGAAGCGCCACCCATGAGCGTCACGCATGAAATGTTTTATAGCGAGTTCGTTTCACGGCACTCGTGCCCACGCGTGCCCACTCGCAACGTGGAGCGGGTTCGTTTCAGCGGGCACTCCGCGAGTGGTTGCACTCTATAGCGCGAAACACATGTACGACGAAACCTCCGATCCGACGTGCGGACTGCCGGAATGACCTTGGGGGCGAGGGTTTCCGTAGCATCGGAGAGCGTTGAAACCCTCGCCTCCGACCGTCGTATTGCGCGGTCGGACGTCGGATCGGACGGTTTCGTCGTACGTGTGTTTCATGCTTAAGAGTTCGTTTCAGCGCCAACACCCCACGCGTGCATGGACTCGCTGCACCGAGGAAATCGTGAGTGCGCCAAAATGCAATCCCGTCATGCCTCGCTCCGGCGAGGAGCGATGAGCAGACGACGAGGACTCGTCTGCTACGATGTGTCGCGGAACCGAAAGGAAAAAAAAGTAGATTTTTTGATAGAAATCGGGTCCCGCGGGCAAAGGAATCAAATGCGAGCTTGAATTGTAAGCGTCTGCTACTTCATGAAGGAAGCAACTGACAAACCGTGCTTTATTTGCAGGTTTTAAGTCGCTCCGTTGCCGTACAGACGCTGAAATATACCGGTGTGTAAAGAAATGCTCAGAACAGACGCATCAGCGGCCCTCGATATGTTTATCACCATCCGTGCGCGGGTGAAAAATTGAACATTTGTCGACAAAACTCGTGTTTTGTCGACAAATGTTTACCATTTACCTACGTAAGCTAAGGTACCCCGTCGTATTTTGTTCGAGAAAGCTCTTTCTCGACGCCTCACCACGGCTGATATCTGATTCACCTGTAATGATGATCGAAATCGAAAGTCCCACGAAAAGTTTTGCTGGATATTCCAAGAGACAAGTTTTTAAGCCGTACCCTTTCAGTGGTTCACGTATGATACCATGCTCAAATGGGTCAAGCTTCTGCTCAGACAGCATCATCAGTTTTCTTCAGTGTAAGCGGCTATAAAGAGATCGCAACCAGCCGCTTTGTAGACAGCTGGCTGCGGAAATTTACGCCGTCTGTAACCATCTTTACGACAGCCCAGTTGCTTGAAGTCATCGCAAATATAAACTATAGAAAAGAGTCAAAGTACAGGCTAGCTGGTGGAAGTCAACCATTTCGTCGTTTACCCTGAGACCCCCCAGTCTCAGGGTAAACGACGAAATGATAAACTACAGGTTGCAGCGACCAACGTTTGTAGATAAACGTTGGTAGCGACTGCACTCTCGCATTTCCACCCATGACTCCGAACAGAAAAACACTATTTTCGGTTTGAGGTTGGTACCTTTTCCATGACATAGATGGTGACAGCATCAGTTTTCTGGACTTGGTTTTCTGCACTCGGTGCATCTGGCGAGTTCGTTTGATTCCAGTTCTCCGTGCAACACTCTGCGAGTGCGATGCATTCTGGGAGAGAACTCGAACAGCGCCAGTGCGTGTGAAACGAACTCGCTATTAGACACCTATGCTAGTCGAGTAAAGGCTCCGTAAGCTGGTGTGCTAAAAATGGAGTCACTCCATCTTAAGACGTTTTGAAATCAGAACATAAGAAGCTTTCATGTTCTCCACTAGTGCGGGGTGATGTGATGTGCGTGATTGCTTGTTCTAATTTTCAAAAGTAATGCTATGGTTTGGCACGTTACCCACAATCTTCGCAGGGACAGTTGAACTTCTCATCCAAAAAATGCAGAAGGCAAGAGTAGCAGTGCCAAGGATTCTCAACAACCTCCCTGAAGGTGGAGTTGGAGACTCCATGCAGAAGGCAAGTTCATGTTTCAAATAGCTTAATTTCCATGTGCCTGCTGGCACATGGAAATGTGCCACCTACTGGCAAAAGCTTGCTGATACAGCAAGCCTTTGCCAGTAGGAATGTATAGAGCTACCTACTGTTAGGGGGAACTCGCTGATGGATGGACGGTGCTCCGCGTTTTGACAGCTGCTGGGGCAACGGGAAGCTCAGTGCAGACGCAGTAAAGCATGAAACACATGTACGACGAAACCGTCCGATCCGACGTGCGGACTGCCGAAATGACTTTGGGAGCGAGGGTTTTCGTAGCATCGGAGAGCTTTGAAAACCCTCGCCTCCGACCGTCGTATTGCGTGGTCGGACGGTTCCGTCGTACATGTGTTTCGCGCTTAAGCTTCAGTAGCAGACAACGCGCTGCATACGCCACCAATGCTGCTCACTGCATCTGTTCTGAGCCAGCCGAGCAGACTCAGTAGTTGGCTTATATGTAAAATTCTAAGTTTCCAGATTTTTATTTTTTTAAGTGAAATTTTTTTTTATTATTATTACGTATTGACTAATTGCACTTTTTTCAAGCATCTTGTCCCAAATGCAGTACATTAGGCTCGTGTCTGAAATATTCGTCCCACAGCAGCACTTGCAGACGGATGGCTGTAATTAGGACAAAGAGCGGCACAATTCTCACAGAACAGTTTAGAATGAGAAGCGGCCTCACTTTTCTCCTTGCTTCGGTTCACTTTCTCAAGGCAACTTAGCGAAGAGGAGAGGGAATGAAGAATCATGACGAGAGTATGTCCCGTCAGCCTTGTTGAATTGCTCCCTTTCATTCCCAAAATACGGCCATCCCTTTGAAATATTGCTGTACAAGTGATGTCAGGGAGTTTGTAGCGTACCGCCTGTCACTCCTGCCTTGATTAGTCATAGCTTACAAATCAAATTTTTTGATATTTGTTTAGGTCTCGGCCCAACATCAGGACTGCGTGGTAGAACTTGCCTACTGCCTCCTAGATTTTCACTATACTCCGTTTCATACATAGCGTACAAAGCTGGGAAAGGTACTGAAGTAGTGCACATGAAAAAATATTTAAAAAATGTGTTACTCTACGCGTTTCGGGGACGAACTGTAAAAGGCGCTGCTCTGGCGATACCGACGTCTCGGTGGCGGTACCTCAAATCGACTTAACGTGTAAGATTTGTTTTTTTTTTTACATAATTTTTGTGCATGATTGTGTGCATTGCGGAAGTGCATAGGTCAGTTCCTCTTTTCTTGTTTCTTTTTATTTATAAGGGGGTAGACTAGGGGTTGGTGTTCCGCTTGAACCTAGTGCCGGCCCCATTAAAACGTAAGAATGGTTGAGATCCAGGGTGTCAGCTTAAACCGTTTATTTACATGATACCGTGAAAATCTGAGAGTACCTTGAGAGTGCAGTGGACGGGCCTTTATATAACGAATACTGGGATGCGACTTCATCCAAGTTTTCTTAAGAGTTGGAATGCTGGCGCTGGTGTATGGAAGTCATCCAGACGGCAGTTTCTCGCTGCTCTGGTGCCGGCGCCCCATGAACTGAGAGTGATTCACAATAGACGCGTACACACCACATGGCACTCGAGGTCAGGGTCAAGTGTTGTTTTCTTTTCAAGGAAAGCAGGGGCCTCGGAATGCAGCCACGGGCACATGCGTCGTCCACTTAGCCAACCAAGGTTACGGTCCCTAAAGTTTCGTTTACACTCTTGCAACCGAGTACGACCGACAGAGACCAGACCGGTTTTTAAGCCTCTTGCGACCTCTTAGGACCAGCTCCACTACAGTGCATCCGGTCCTAAGAGGTCGCAAGAGGCTTAAAAATTGGTCTGGTCTTTCTCGGTCGTACTCGGTTGCAAGAGTGTGAACGGGCCTTTAGGCAGAAGAAACCAGACGCACCGAAATGCAGCCACGGGCATTGTCTGCCTAGCCAACCAAGGTTAAAGGCCCGTTCACACTCTTGTGGCCTCTTAGAATCGGGTTTTGTTAGAACCTCTTAATATCTATTACAACAAGAGGACACACTGGTGCCATCCATTGGGTACAAGTGTAAACTTGGCGGTCGGGCATGTTTTCTATTTCTCTCTCGCATTATCCTTTCTTTCTTGGCCCAAAAAGCTTTTGTCAACGTTATAAACGAGTCGTTCTTATAGGTATTACGCACATTTGACCTTAGAAATCCCGCAAAGCCTTTGCTCTTGTGAAACGCAGTTCCAGGGTCACCGCATAGATGGCGCCAAAATGCCAGTGTGTTCCCTTGTCCTTAACATTTTAAGAAGTTTTAACAGATCTCATCTCTCTCGGTCATACTCGGTTGAAAGAATGTGAAAGGGCCTTAAGGTCCTGCAAGCAAACTGAGCCTTAGGCACTATTCATCACCGGCGCGGTTCCTTCTTAAGGCTTGTTTCACTTTGAAGCCATAAGGCCGATTTTAACACCAGACATAACTGAAGGCAGTTCACAACACGGTCCACGTGCTCAAAACTCGCGTTGCAAGGTCTTCGCTTCGGAAATGCCACCTTGCCAGATAGACACTGTGCCTTGCACTTTGCGACAGTATGGCCGCACGCTCCGGTGTCGTTACTGACAGTCTCCAGGGCTTCACGGACTGACACGTCTCTGGGAAAATTGTTCTTGTACTCATATACACATTGGCGCTCACCTGCTCGCACTCTTTCGAGATCTCCGCACAACGAATCTTTGAAAATAACCAAGCAGGAGAGGTACTTGGGCTTGCTGTGTAAGACTGTTCTCAAAACCGGCGAGGCAGGGGCCAGCCGCACAACCCAAAAGCCCGAAGTGGCTGCCGCACCAATGAAAACGGAAAACAATTTAAAGTAGTTAACATTATCTTTTCCTTTTTATTGAAAAAGAAAAGAAAAAAATATATTGGTGTTTCGTCGAAATTGTAACGCCGCTATCAGTTACTAGCTCCGAAGATGCACATTTTTTTACTTTGTTGTTTTTTACAGGGCAGCACTATCTTATGGGGCAAACGTACGAATGGTCGGCAGTGCAAACCGGTGCACTAGCTTTGACTGCGTTGCACGCTATGTATGGAACGGAGCATAGAGCTAAAATATTTCATAGACTGTCTTGACTACAGATGTTGTGAATAAATCGAGGCATAAGTTTGAAGACACCTTTTATAGAATTTCACGAAATAGAAATTTCGGAGCCTGTGCATCGGCTCATCGTACTGTTTTAGGCTACATTGTGCAAGTAGATGAGAGAGAAGGACATTGGAGAAGGGTGTTCTGCATGGCACAAAGTGCTAGTTGTTTGTCAACCTTTAGGAAACAATAATGTAATTGGCGTAATATTTTCCATTGGGTGCACAGACGTCGTCAAAAAACCCAAAGAACGGAAAACAAGCACAGCTTATTGCTCAAAAGAAATTGTGCGAAGACTACAACTCCAACAGGACAGAAACCTCCAAGGTGAAAAAGCCTGGGAATAATTAACGTTCTCTTTAAGTAGAAAATTAAATAAACAATTTTTATGCGCTCATAGAACCCACTTATTGCTATTCTCATTTCAGAGAACGAGGTCAGAGAGCAGCGAGAGTGATGAAGAGACTAATTCACTTCGTCAAAAAAATGCAGTCATTGTCCAACTTCGAAAGCGCTTGAGAGAGGAAAAGGAATACAGCAGGCGGCTAGGCCTTGCCCTTCTGGACAAGATTGGTATGCTTCTTTGAACCGGTCTTATCAGGGGTGTGACAGCTTTGCCACTAGACTGTGCCAAATTCCCCAGCACCAGGGAAGATGCGGCGAGTGAGCACTCGGGGACCGCCTTTCTTGGCAATGCAGTCAAAAGCTATGGGCACGAGCGTCATAGTCGTGCGTATGTCCTCATCGTTTGTGATATTCCAAGAAATGTTGTCCCTAACTAGAAACATGCCTGCCTTTTGGTAGGAGACATTTGAAGTAAATAACGAAAATGAGCCGGCAACAAATGCTAGTGAAACATTTCACTTGAATTGGGTTTCTTTCTTTGCTGCAGACATTATACATCTCCTGCGCATGTGCCTAAACTCGTCGCACGCATCTGGAGGCTCGGCACAGTGTATTGCACCATTGAGAGTTTTGCGACAACCGAATAGACAATGTCATTTTCCCAGATGCCACGGCGTGCGTCCTAGGATTTGTGGGAAGGGTGTTTGTTGACTCAGTCTTTTTTTCGTGATTATAAGTGTACTTATTTCGTTCTGCCTACTGTATTTTTTGTGTACGATTTGCTCTTGCATGTTTTTTCTGTCGTTTTCGACGTGGGCATTGATGGACGCCAAACCGCCTCTTTCGCTGCTCCTGAGGTGTGTTTTGGTGAAGATACGACTGTTTACGAAAATCGCAGTCCAGACATGGCCATCAGATCGCAACTGCGGCAAGCCAGGAAAGGATCGTGCAAATGCACTATTCGTGATGACAAAGCAGCCTCTTCCATATTGGGCACGCAAACAGTAGTCTGATGTCATATGTTCACATTTCACACAGCGAGCGCAAACGGCCAAATCCAAGCACTGTTGCCTTCGCTTTGCAATTACGGTTTTGTTTTTCAGTGGTGACATGTTCACTGGTTTGTGAGACTATTGTCTGGTGATTGCATGCAGGTAGATAAGTGAGCTAATGGTGGGATAGTGCATGGTGAAAACAGTAATACTCGCTTCAGAAGCAGCCTGGCGTCCCTCAACACTCGTTTTGAAAGCGACAAAATGTACACACAAGAGCGAATCTTGCACGGAAAATACGGCATGGAGAACGAAATAAGTACACATATAAAAGAAAATAATGAACTAGATTATGTGAAAAAAAAGAATTAACGCTAAATAACGAAGATAAAGAGGACATGCACGGCGACGGAAGGCAATCTGATCGAAGAGCAGCCGGGGGACTGGGCATACGAAAACGCTGTTCCCACAATAGACCTTTTGCAAAATCCCCCAAGTGCCCTGGCCCGCACGCGAGGGATTATGGGAGAGATTGTCCCTCGCCTGGCCGCTCTGCCTTGTGATCGCATTGCCTTGTCGCTTGCCTCCTCTTAATCCTCTGTGTTTCGATTCCATTACCTAATTTTATCTATTCCAGTGTATTTTTTTATTGTTTCTAAGTGGTTCTATTCTCTTCTGCGTGCAATATTTCTTGTAAATATATAGTATTGGTGCCTTTATTTTGCCTTTTTCGACGGGAATGCCGACAGGACAACATGTCGCTTCGCGCGTCGTTCCTCGGGTGAGTACTACCGTTGCTACCGATTCCTTTCGTGCTGTTAGCTGCTTATTTTGGTTCAATTTGACCCGCGTGCAGCTGAGGGGAGCAGTTTATTAATACCCGCGCACATGTCATAGGGGTAGGCAGAGCTCTTAATCAACAATCGCGACGCGAGAGCCGGGTGCGCTGTGATTTGACTGCCCGCGCTTGCTCCGTTGACTCGCACTGTAACGTATGCCTTCTAGTGCCGCTTACTTGACCAACATAAGCATGCCGCTTTGTCGCCGCGAATAATTTGTCCGAACGTTTGCGAAGCTGAGGCATACGCAACGTTGCGGCGCCTGACAACTGCAGCAGTTGTCAGGCGCTTATGGTATGCCTTCTTAATCTATATCAGAGGTGGCCAGGCTGACCCGGCCTAAGAGCCGTAAACAAAACCACGAAACTTCCAAGAGCCGCAAGGGGGGGTAGGGGGGGGGGGGGCTTTTGTTCAGACAAATAAACGGAACTCGAACTACTTTTAATCTATCCGAGTCAAAAGCAGTCCCTCTGTACGTAAGGTAGCAGTAGCACAAGACTACAATCCCGCAACCTGTCTTTCGATTTAAAACGCGTTCCATTTCTCTTTTTAACGGGGGGGGGGGGGGGGGGGGGGGGAACAGGGGAGGGAGTTGCGAGCTGTACTTTAACACGCGAAGAGCCGCATGCGGCTCGGGAGCCGCAGCTTGGCCACCCCTGATCTATATGCTAAGGCTAAGCGGTTTTCAGTTGCAAACACCCTTTTTCAAGTGCTGACAACTGCATGCAGTTGTCAGGCGCCGCAGCGTTGGATATGCTGAATGGTGTTACGGTTTCGCAGGCATTCGGGCAAATGATCCGCGGCGACAAAGCGGCGTGCTGTATCTTGGTCAAGCAAGCAGCACTCGAAGGCACACGCTACAGTCCGAGTCAACGGAGCGAGTGCGGGCGGCCAAATCACAGCGTACTGGGCTCTCGCGTCGCGATTGTTGATTCAGACCTCTGCCTATCTCTATGACATGCACGCGGGTGTTCATAAATGGCTCCTCTCGACTGCATGCGGGTCAAATTGAATTATAATGAACAGCGCGATAGGAATCAGTGGCAACGGTAGTACTCACCTGGGGAACGACGCGCGAAGCGGCGTGTTGTCCATTGGCACTCTCGTCGAAAAAGGAAAAATAAAGACACAAATACTATGAGAATAAAAACACTTAGAAGCCGTAAAAAAATATGCTTGAATAGATAAAAGTAAGTAATGGAATTGAAAAACAGAGGATTAAGAGGAGGCAATGCGATCTCAAGGCAGGGCGGCCAGGCGAGGGACAGTCTCCCCACCATTCCTCGCGCGCGGGCCAGGGCGCTTGGGAAAATAGCAAATCGTCTATTGGTCGGATGTGCGCCAGGGCACTTGGGGGAAATTACAAATCGTTTCTTGCCTATCTCTTAACCACTGTGCACACTGTCACGGCCTTCATGCTTGGTGGGCTTTGCTGCCTTGCATTGCCGTGTTAGGAGCAGCAAGGTGCGGGCAGTATTTGGGTTAGCCCAATCGGCTTTGAACTATTTGCTCTCTTAGACACTCTTTCGTCTTAATTGTGTCAAATGCTTATTTAAAGAAATGCAGAACTATAATTTAAAATTCTGCATTAGTATGGCCATCAAACTCAGTCCGATATAAAATTCATCTGAAATTCCTCAATATCATTTAAGGGATCGTAAACCAAAATTTGGATTAAAAAAAAAAACAAAAAAAAAATGCAGATGTAGGTCTGGACGCTACAATCACTACAACATTACTCGTTGGGCGATATCTCGAATGGACGGCCATATTTTTGGAAAAAGAGGCCGAGATTGAACCAGGCCGACGAGGCGCGTGACGTGAAGATATCTTGTTTCCTCCTCTCTTCGCTTCGCCCCCTCAAGGTGGCGAGGTGAAGACGCGAGGGCCGTTGCCTCTCCTCAGAGAAAAGAGACGTAAACATTTCTGTCAAGTACGCCTTTTTTTTTTTTTTAAATACAGTCATTTGTTAGAGATATTGCTGATGAGTGATGTTTTGGTGTTTGTAGCATCCCATTGCACGCTTTTGCTGTATGTTTTGTGGAATCCAGATTTCGGTTCGACATCCCTTAAAGTGTATCCACACGACGGACCGGGCCGCGGACCGATTGATCACGTGATGCGCGGCCCGCGGACCGCCCGGCTGAAATGAGCATCCACACGGCGGACCAAAAGAGATTGACAGAGCGAACGGGCCAGACTAACCCTCGACCTCACAGCTCCGCCAAACGCATGCAGCGAGCTGCTTTGAGGCTATTTGTAAGGAGCCAAGATGGAGGTTGAACGAAAGAGACGTTTGGCCGCGGTGGCCCTGGCGTTGACTATTGAGGACGTGGAGGACTTAAGTGAACCGGAAAGGGCATGCATCTATTGTCCCACAGAGCGGGGAATTGCTCCACGAGCGCGATTAAGTAAAAAGTTGCATCGTCACACCATACCGCCATCGAAGCACAACAAAAGGTTGGTCTTCTTCGTCTTCACCAGTTGGCGCCAAAAGAAAACGACTTTGGATTTGGATTCCAGTCCAAACAACAAAAGTCAGCTTGTTGCCAGACTTGGCACTTCAATTATACTAAAAACGCCGCGGTCCGCCGCCAAGGTTCGGGCGAAAAAAGTCACTTGGCATTTCTCAGAAGCGCGGTCCGCGGACCGCCGGCGGACCTCGAAAACCGGTGACGTAAGATCACGTGATGCGCGGCCCGCGGACCGAAACAGCAATTTGGTCCGTCGTGTGGATACACCTTTAGGGGGTTATGACATGCCAAAAATAAAATGAGATAACTGTACTGTTAGGACCCATTGTATGTTTCTATAATCCTCCTAAGCTTGTTTTGAGAGTGGCGCGTTAGTTTCGTGGATGAATCGATTTATATGCGGGTCCCTCGGACCCGCCCTATTTCAAAATGCCACCCTGGCTGGGAGGCTGGTGACTTCACCAGCCTCCCACGCGGCGTCCCCTTGCGCAAGCTCACAGACTTGGCTCTCATGGCGTCTCGAGCTTCAGCTTCCTCGTTTACCTTCCGCTTTTCAAGCATACGGTCTGTGACGATTACGGCATTGCTGCTCGCCTTGTCAAAGTGTTCGACATTGACCGCAGCAGCAATGAGGGTGATTGCTATCAAGAGACGTTGGAAGCTGTTCATTTTGACTGCAACCCGCTGGCGACCAGCTCCAGAGATGCGAGTTATGGACGAACTCGGCGTGGTCACCGTCGTCCTAGAATGTCTCGCAGGCACATGCAGGGTGGAAGGTGAACGGGCCGGGGCCGAGAGCAAGAATAGCGTGTCGGTTACCGTGCTGCGTGAGCGGTTTTGATTGTGCCGCGGCGAGGGAGAGCTTGGGCGATCATGGGGGCGCCTTGAATGAGAGAGCGTTCATGATCATGTGGTTTATGGACGCCATGGGTGTGAGTAACTTGTGCAGTGTTGCCTGGTCGCCAGATGAAAATGATAAAAATTTATAAACCGATTATTGCAATTACCAGAGCTCTAAAAATAGCACAATTGGTGTATCTACTAAGTAGCCTATGAGCATTCCATATCAAGAATAATCTATTCGTCATAGCCCCTTTAATGGTTACATTTTCCCAAATCATTGTTTTCTGCTGGGTTTTACTGCATAATATTGATGCTTTTTTTAACCTATTTGCAAATATGGACGGTGATGCCATTTTGAACTTACCGTGATGGACAGCGTTTCCAGTGCAGTGGTCAAGCTCACTTATTTGGGGCGCAGTGGCCATAATCAAAGCTGCGTTTTCAATGCTTTCTGTTCTGAAATGTGGGATATTTTGGTCCTAAGCTGCTGCAAAACGCAAATTTTCCTCGTCCAAAAATTACTCCAAAATAATTTTTTTTTTTCTGTCCTACCCCTGTTTTATGGATTTCGTTTGTGTAACAGTGTTTCCATTGCTTCTACTTCCATTTTTTGCAGAAGTGGCCCGTAAGAAGGCTTCACAGAACGGAGCTGCAGTGTCCCTTGGTAAATTGCTCTTCAGAGCATGTCTTTTCATGCGCTAATCAATAATTGTATTTCCTTTTCAGGTCGTCGAGCTTCAAACGGCCGCGATGGCTTTGATCTTGCTTCTACATCACACTCGGGTAAGTCTAGATCACTGACATTCTAATGTCATGGGCAAGATTAAAGGCCATGCTTTTGAATGTTGGAGGCAAAATCGGTAAAGGCCATAGAGCATCTTTCGGCTAGAAAGCATTTTAAAGATATTGAGGTTCTGCAAAGCCAGGAGCCAATAATTGTATTTACTCCTTAGGTCATCAAGCTTCGAACATTCTCGATGGGTCTGATCTTGCTTCTACGTCCCACTTGGGTAAGTCTGGATTACTGACATTCTAATGCCGCGGGGAAGATTAAAGGTCACGCTTTTAGATGTTGGAGGCTAAATCGGCAAAGGCCATAAAGCATCTTTCAGCTAGAAAGTTTTCAGGCATTCTAAAGATATTGAGGTTCTGCAAAGCCAGGAGCCAATAATTGTATTTACTTTTTAGGTCGTCATGCTTCGAACAGCCGCCATGGGTCTGATCTTGCTTCTACGTCGCACTCGGGTAAGTCTGGGTTACTGACATTCTGATGTCGCAGGGAAGATTAAGGGCCACGCTTTTGGATGTTGGAGGCTAAATCAGTAAAGGCCACAAAGCATCTTTCAGCTATACAGTTTTCAGGCATTCTAAAGATATTGAGGTTTTGCAAAGCCAGGAACCAATTATTGTATTTACTTTTTAGGTCGTCATGCTTCGAACAGCCGCCATGGGTCTGATCTTGCTTCTGTGTCGCACTCTGGTAAGTCTGGGTTACTGACATTCTGATGTCGCAGGGAAGATTAAAGGCCACGCTTTTGGATGTTGGAGGCTAAATCAGTAAAGGCCATAAAGCATCTTTCAGCTATACAGTTTTCAGGCATTCTAAAGATGCTGAGGTTCTTCAAAGCCAGGAGCTTGTTTAAATGATCGAAATTAATGAATAGGTCTCCATCTTTTCCGCGTGCTCTAGCATCAGCTGCCTCCCTTGGTCTCGTGTCAATGGCAGCTCTACTCCTTGCTTCTCCCATTCCTGCAGCGGCACCCTCTCTGCCTCAGCACCCTGCTCCCGCCACTGTAGCTGTCCCCCCGATGGATCAACACAATGCCCCCGCCCCTGCAGCAGCCCCCCCTATGGATCAACACAACGTTCCAGCCCCCCCTTTGGATCAAGAGCCCGTTCCTGCCCCTGCAGCTGTCCCCCTTTTGGATCGCCCCGCTCCCATCCCTGTGGCAGCACCTCCTCTGGACCAACACCCTGCCCCACCAGCGGCTCTTCCTCAACGTCCTGTTCATGGCGAAGCTGGAAATCTTGGTAAACCGAGCCATCAAAGTCTGATGATTGTACAGTGTAGACCGCATATAACGTATGTCGCGGGAGTCGCAAAAATCCGCACTATAAGCGGTACCGCACTGTAACCGAAACAGCAATTTTTCAGGCCAAAATACATGCCATCAGACAACTTACCTTTGTAAAAGAATTTATTTTATGTTAGATGAAAAATTAAGCTTAGTTTGAGGAAAGTCTTTATTTCACCAGGCTAGTACACTTCTCTCTCAAGTGTGTCACACATTTTGAAAGAAATTAGTGACTTTTGCCTGGCGCAGCCTTTTAACGCGTCGCGGGTTGCGGACGGACGTTGCGAGCGTTCAGGATTGCTAACCCTAATCACTTTTCTCCGGCGATGAAAACGCAGGAAAATTCGCATCCTTTATACGGTACGCGCCAGTAATACCTTCAACTTGAGCACAGGCATGAAATGCTCCAAATAAGAAATCCGGACGATGTTCGAAAACACAAATGCTTAGAAAGCACCACTGTAGTCGAAGTAAACAAACACGACGACATGGGCGTTTCTGCCGTCTTGAGAGTGCCACCACAACATCGCCGCACGAGTAGGTGGATCTTCCCTTCTAGTACGTGCTGGGTTATCATAGCGACACACAACGAAAATTCACAGTCAAGGATAGCGCTTTTACGCGGAACGATGAGCTTCTACCATGCCGTCTATGTCGACGATCACCACCGACGCCATGTTTGCGGATAGAAGCAGCCGGTCCGCGACCAGCATGCAACGCGCGCGAACACTTCTCCTTGACCTGCGATTGGTCTCTCGTTGCGGTTGTTTGTTTCCAACGCAGCGGAGGGACGCACGCACATGAACGACACGTGCGTGCGTCCCTCCGTCGCTATGGCAACTGAAGCCTCTCTTCGCTTCTTCGAGCAATCTCCTTGCCCTGCGAGTGCCGCTTGCGGCTTGTGCCGTTATCTAGTGTCGCACAGGGAAGCGTGCTCGCAGCGCCGGTCAGTCGGCGCGCTGTTCCAAAAACCGCACTATAACCGGTATTTCCCTTTGCGCGCCTGCATTTTAAGCGGTATGTAAATACATGGAGTTCTATGGGAGGCGAACCGGTGGTTTAAAAAAGCCGCGTTATACCCGGTCCTGCACTATAAGCGGTTACGTTGCAAGTGGTCTATACTGTATTGATATCAGCGTTTGTTTTCTCATAGAAAGCAGTTGGGTACAAAGCGCGATATTGTTAGCGCTGGCGAGCGATGACGAGTTTTTGCTGCTTTTTTGTTAGTCGGAATGCTGTCATTCAAATTTCTGGTGCCGTAGGAAGTGCTAATTTGGGACACTAACATACATGGTAAATACATGTGGGAAGCGAGCAGTTGTGATTAGCTGTTGAGCACCGTGTGTCGTTCGGTCAGGTTGCGCATGATCATGCTTTTGTAATTTTTTGGCTGCCTAGAGCTCTAAAGTGAGTTATCACCAAAACAACCTCAGAAACCTCCTTTAGTGCCCCCCTAACTTCATAGCCGCAGAAAGTTGTCCCCACTTACAGTATACAGTGAAACCTCGTTATAACAAAGTTGAAGGAGCGGTCATAATTATTTTGTTATAACCATTAGTTTGTTATAGCCAATGTCCATTTCTTTCCGCTATTAGCAAGCAAGGGGAATTATGATTGCTTTGTTATATCCATTAGTTTGTTCTATCCCATTTTGTTATAACGAGGTTTTACTGTAGTCCTTTCCTATGTGGGTTCGTCGTAATCCCAAAATTTTAGGTTGAATGGAGTTCGCCTTGAACAGGCTGTACTTATGCTTTGTCAAGTACTTGTGAATCCTTAGGGAGTTTCTGTAAATTCTGCCTAAAATCAAGCTAACCATTTCATCTCATCAGTGCACACACTTTTATATTTTATGGACAGCACACCAGCTGAATGCAGCTGTCCAGGGTCCACTGCGACCACTCTATGAAGTCAGGCAAGGGAATGTAAGTGACTGGTTTACATTTTTTTTTTTTCATTGTCCTTGTAAGGGGAGAATCAGCCAGCACTCCGTGCATCTGCTGAGGAAATGCCTTGCAATGATCAGCATAGCTACTGCTCTCTCTTACGAGAAGTGCGATGTGTTGACATTCTCGGCGTTCTCTCCGCGGCAGGTGCCGCATGCATCTGTCATGACTCGAGATTTCTCCTCTTCGCAGCGCTTGGCGCACTAATCAGTATTCCAATCCCTCTGTGCACATCGGTGACTAATATATAAGCACTAAAGTTCAGAGAGGACTGAACTGACATCATGTGTTTTGGTTACTTGAGGCCGTTTCATACACTTGCAATCGAGTACGACCAGGAGAGATGAGACCTGTTGAAACCTCTTAAAATTACTTAAGACAAGAGAGCACACTGGCATGCTGGTAACACCTATGTGGTGACTCTGGAACTGCATTTCACAAGAGCGGAGGTTTTGGATTTCCGAGGTCAAATGTTTGTAATACCAGGCTCGTTTATAACGTTGACAAACGTTTTTCGAGCCAAGAAAGAAAGGATAATGCACAAGAGAAGTAGAAAATATGCTGGACTGCCTCTTGTCGTAAGAGAGATTAAGAGGTTCCAAGGCACTCGGTTCTAAGAGGTTGCAAGCGTGTGAACGGGCCTTAACATTAGAGTGACTAAAGCATTGCATGTCCTGAAACCGACCAATATTACGAAATGATTTCTGCAAAATCCTGCTTTCTTCATAGAATCCTTCCTTATTATTGCGTGCCTTTTGTCACAGATTCATCTGGGAGACGATGTCTACCTCTCCGAAACAAAAATGACGCACCTTTTGAAACTGCCAAGTGACCAGAGATTCACTAAAGATCTCATGCGGTGCATCTGGTCCATCGAAGAGCTGCGGCAAAGAAGCGTGACAGGCCAAGCCAGCCGTCGCCTGGCCAAACTTGGAGCCGCAGCAAAGCAAGCACTCACACCAAGGAAGGTGGCCGCAGTAAAAAGTAAGCTATGTGTTTTGGTGTATCTTCAGAATTTAGATATGTGATGCAGAGGTGGCTTTTGAATAGTGTTTATCATGTGCACTCTCAAATGCTTGAACAAAACTTTGTTGTTCTGTCTTCAATCTGCCACCAGCATCAAGAGCTTGTATAATAGGGAGGCTACCTCGTTTTTCTGATGAGGGGAGGAAGACACCTTTCTGCGACATTTACGAACAAAAGTTTGAATCAAAATAGAAGAGGAAAACACAACTTGTCCAAGGATTCCAGGAAAATATAAAAACCAGTCTGGTTTGTGCAACTGGCAGTATCAAAATTCAGGGTTTTTAATAGGGATGTCGCGAACTTTTTTCGAATCGAAGTTTCGATGATCGAATCAAGCGGTTCGAACGATTTCGAATTTTCGAACTTTCCATATGGGCAAATTCGACCGAAGTCAAATTTTCGAACTTATTAAACTGAGAAGTTCGATGCTTTTCGAACTTATGACGCAGCAAAATTCGATGCTTGTCGAACTTTCGAACTTGATAGACTAAAAAATTCGATTATTTTCGAACTTTCGAAGTTGTTGCACTAAAAGGTTCAAACCCTTTCGAACTTTCTACGCTGAGAAAGTCGATAATTTTCGAACTTTCGAACTTATTAATCTAAAGAATTCGAAAATTGTCGAACTTTTGATTCCAGAAAAGTCAAAAGTTCGAACTCGAACTTTTAGGGTGAAAGTTCGAAGTTCTTCGAACTTCGAAAGACCGGCGGCCGGTTTCATTTGGATTCAAGCAGTGAGGTACATTCGTAATTTTTTTTCCCAATTTTGCATGTGGCACACAACAAATTGAGAGTCCAACGAAGAAAAAAAATTTTTAGAGCTATATTTACGGCGCTATACGAATTTATAGTTGGCGCCGCGGAACAATGGCCCTTACTTATCACGTGACTGGCCCATATTTATCACGTGGTGCTTGTGCTCTTTCGGAAGCTTCCTATGGCCTCTAAAAGTAACTTACTCATCTTTGTTTGAAGTATAACAAAAAAGTAAGGTTAATAAGTAAACTTCTACAGCCCAAAGGAAATCCCTGGAAAAGCATAAGCCGACGTGATAGACCTGTGTGCTGTGCAGAGACGGTGGTGCGGAGAAACGCGTTGAAGCGGCGTCGCACAACGCTCAGCGTGCGGCGGCGGCAGCGTGACTTTGACCCGCGAGCGCCAGATACAAATTCGTTTTGTGCCGTAAATATAGCTAAATTTTTTTTCTTTGTTTTAAATTCGTTTTATAATATTCTTTTTCCATCTAGCCTGTTTACAAGAAATGTTTTTTTCCTTTGCATCTGTCCTTTAAGAAAAATGTTTATTTGTGTCGTAATCAAACCTCAACCACTGTCATCACTTCCATGAGACTCCTTGTTCGACGCCTCTTCCCAAAGGCAGTCGTCTTCAGCTTCGGTGCCGTCAAGTGCATCTGAAATCCCGCACATCTTGAAAGGGCGAGAGACGAGCGTGCGCCGATGCAGTGAAAACTTGGCGCGGCGAATAGAGCAAGCAACACAGTGGGGGGTCGGCTTGCCAAAGTTCTCTCGCCTTCTCATGCAGCAGCTCGATGTTTACAGCAAGGTGCCATTTACATTGCTCTTTCACAAAGTCGCTGAGATGTGCCTCGACGTCGGCGAACACTCCATTCATTGGGCCTCTAAAGCTTCTCGTTTCGTTGCACGCGATCAGCTTGCGTTTGTCGTCTCATCGGGTGATGCTGCCTTCATTTATGGCGAATTGTCATCCGGCAGCACTGTTGCCGATGTCTTCCACAACCAAAATGACTTTTCTTTTGAAGGCAGCAGAGTGTTGCTTTCGGACCGTCGGGCCCGAAAACTAGCCTGACTGCGGAAGATGGTGGCACCTCGGACATTGCTATTTTAAAGGGGTACGGAAACAAAAATTTAAATATTCAGATTTCGTTTGGAAATGAGTCAAGCATGACGGATAATAACCGTAAATGATAATTACACGTTTGTATTTTGAATGACTGTCTATATTGTTCGTTCCAAACGGTGCACTCGAGCAAGCGCTCGAAGAGAAGCGAATGGAGAGCGCGATGCGTCGGGATATCCGGTGCAAACAAAAACAGAAAGAAAAGATTTCTCGCGTCCATGGAGTAGCAAGGCAGGCGTGGTTATGAGCTTTGCCCTTGGTGGCATTGTCAGAGTTGTGGTGGTGTCAATAGCGTCGGTGCGTTACAACCGAGCATGTGACTGGCCCATGGAGGACGTAGCTTCCACAACACTGTCAGCTTAGGGCTGAACGGGGTGGGGAAAGTAACATTTGTGTTTTGAGGGACTGGCTAATCTTCTGTGGGGAGAACGGCTGTTTCCGGTTGCACGAACGAGGGTCCAAGAAAGAGGGGAGTCCTTCCTTTCTGTCTCCTTCGACCATTTGGTACAATACGCAATATGTGAGTTGAGCTAGGTGGTAAGCTAAAAGGGAAAATGTTGAAATTCCAAAGGGCGGCGCTGCTCCGAGGGAATCTGCTATGTTACGAGTACGTAGCAAGTTCCCCAACATTGTCAGATTAGCTCCCAAATAGGCTCCGCATGCATCCACCAGGTGCACATTGAAAGATTGTTTATTTAGCTTTAGAATTAGTTTTCTTGTGCCTTTCAACGGAAGACTGGTGTTTTTGAGGTTAGGGTGCAACATGCAACACATTCAAGCTAGAAAATAAGCACTGGAATTTCGTTTCCCTAACCCTTTAATGGGGATGATAGCTATTTTGAACACCATATTGCTTTGAAACCGAAACTATGTCAAACTGCGTTAGATCGCGCCTCATTGAAGCTGAAAATTGTTGGGACCCGCGTATAATACGAGCCGCAAATTTTACATGGCACAAATATGAAAAAAAAAGAACTCTGATTTTATGCGGGTCTTACATTACTTCTAACTAGTAACTATTGATCCAATTTTCTTTCAGACGCCTTGAGCTACTACATCAACCACCACCCAAACCCTGAGGCTGCCAACCCCCAAGAAGACCATGCTGTCCGCCTGCGACAGATTAACAATACAATGACGAACTTTCTTTCGGATCTGGGCCGCCCTGCCAGGTGCCGCAGTGCAGAGTGAATTTTTTCTGTAAAAGAATGTTGAGTTGGGCAAGTTGGTTTATCTTAGATTAGAAAAGCGCCAGAAAACAAGGACAACAGCGCATCGTTTCGTCTATTCTTCCTGTTGTCCTTGTTTTCTGGCGCTTTTCTAATCGAAGAATTTTTTTTTCTTTTATTCTTTTTTAGTGCAATTTTTTACCTTCATGTTTTTATGTTGTGCATATTTGACCGACAGGCGTCGCACCGCACCACGAATTTTTTTTTTTTAATTATTTTATACTTGATCTCACCTTCTGTCCAAGCGCAGCAGAGGCTGCCAGCCATCTCAGCCAACCGACTGTTGAGAGAGAGTCATGTTTGCTTGAGCTCCCCCCGACCAGAACATCACGTGATACCCTCCGGACGCTGGATTGCCTGGTGTGGCTCATAGCCTCCGCTGCGCTCGAATGGAAGGCTTTAGGGGTTTATGTTGCTCCACACAAATGTTTTTATTGTCTAGTCACTTTCTTTTGTCTTGTTTAGTGTGTTGGGTATATTGAAATAACCATTCAATAGTATTTTTAGTGTTTGTCTAGTCGGACGTTTTTAATCCTTACTCGGGCATATTTGACCGACAGTATGGTGCCTCGAGCATATTTGACCGCACCATGAATGTTTTTTTTTTTTAAATTCTCTTTTATACTTGGTTTCACCTTCTCTCCAAGCGCAGCGGATGATACCAGCCATCTCAGCCAACCCACCGTTGAGAGAGTGTCACGTTTCCTTGAATTCCGCCCAACCAGAACATTACGTGATACCATCCGGACGCTGGATTGGCTGCGGTGGCTTGTAGCCTCCGCTGCGCTCGGACGGAAGGTGAAACAATGTGTTAACTACAGGGCTTTATGTCGCGCCACACGTTGAATGTGTTTATTGTCTAGTCACATTCTTTTATCTTGTTTAGTGTCTCGAATATATTGAAAGCACCATGCAATGGTTTTTTTCGTTCTTGTGTAGTTAAACTTTAATCTTTACAGTGTGGTGCCTCGGGTATATTTGACAGACAGGCGTTGCACCACACCCTGAATGTTTTTTTTAAATTCTTTTTTATATTTGGTTTCACCTTCTGTCAAAGTGTGGCGGACGCTACGTCCATTCCAGCAAACCCACAGTTGGGAGAGTCCAGTTTCCAGCCCATGTTGAGTCATGTCTAGTATTTAGACTTTCTTTTATCTTCTTTAGTGCCTCAGGCATAGTAAAGGCACCATGCAATGTTTTTTTGTTTTTCTTGTATAGTCGGACTTTTTTAATCTTCACTCGGGCATATTTGACCGACAGTATGGTGCCTCGAGCATATTTGACCGCACCATGAATGTTTTTTTGTTTTTTTTTTTAAATTCTCTTTTATACTTAGTTTCACCTCCTCTCCAAGCGCAGCGGATGCTACCAGCCACCCCAGCCAATCCACCGTTGAGAGAGTGCCATGTTTCCTTGATCTCTGCCCAACCAGAACATCACGTGCTACCCTCCCAGCGCTGGATTGCCTGGGGTGACTCATAGCCCCCCCCCCCTCCCCCCTGTGCTGGGATGGAAGGTGAAACTGTGTTTTCCTTAGGACTTTATGTTGCGCCACACGCTGAATGTTTTTATTGTCTAGTCAGTCTTTTCTTTCTAGTTAGTGTCTCGTATATTGAAGGCACCATGGTGCCTTCAATATACGAGACACTTGGTTCTTGGCTGACTATTTTCAGTTAGTTATTCAGCCTTGGATTTACCATTTTTTATTGTTAAAACCACTAAAGGAGTGGTTAAAATTTCTATGCAAATAAAATCGTTGTGATAGTTTGTAGCCTGAGTTTTCAGTGTGGTGAAGCTGGCTGTACTGGTCTCAGGTACGAGTTGTACCGTTTTCACCAGTGAAACCGGTGTACCTGTGTGACCAGTATGGCTGGTTTTATCATATGCCCAGTATATCCAGTATTTCCAGTGCATCCAGTATACCCGTCCAATAATCCAGTTTGATACTGGCCCAGTATGCCCAGTAAAACCACTACCAGTATTCCCAGTTTGCCCGTCCAATAATCCAGTTTGATACTGGCCCAGTATGCCGAGTATGGAAATATTTTCAATAGGGTTGCTGTCTCCTCAAATCCTGCTTCGGTTGCACCGTCGTTCAAGTAGTCTACAAAGAACGTGCACACAGCCCACCCTTCGAAAATCTACCCAATATAGCCAAACGAGTCTCAAATTTTCCGTTTCTACCACCCCCTCTCTCTTTTCTCGCACACAAAGGCAGCTGGCAGCGCGCAAGCGCCCGGTCGTCTACCAAAAACGAGAGGACAAAGAATAAGACGTTGCCTTGTCCCAGCCTAAGCCGATCTTGGCGCACCCTCGTAGCAATGACAGTTCGATCATTTCTAGCAGACCTTCGCGTGCGCGCTCCCAGCATGACCAGCTTGACCACCACGATTATGAGTTCGACCAGCTTCACCAGCTTGTCTCCCAGCCTGGCCACATTGCCTCTATGGAAAACCGGTTTTACCAGTTTGACCAGTTAGGACCAGACTGGCTCCCAGCTACACCAAATTGAGTCTAAAACCAGACTGTAGTTAGAGCGTGTTGGTTTTTACTTAAACCAGACTGACCATCTCACATTCTACCTTGACCACCTTAAACCAGCTCGATTGTCAGTTAAACCAGCTTGACTAACACATTGACCAGTTTGGCCAGCCTAGTTACCAGCTTGCTCAGTCAGATTTTCATACTGGTTTTTCCGATAGGGCTAGAATCAGATGAAGAGAATTTGGAAAGACGTAGTTGATAATTTTCTTAAAAGTAGGAGGATGGAAGATGTTGAGATGGAGCCTCTATCCGGAAGTGTGCATATCACGCCCCGATCACCAATTCAAAGAACCGAAGGTCTCTTCAATTTATATAAAGTAGACGTTTAACAAAACCAGAATAAAAAGTCATAGCTAGTCCGTTTGTGGTGTTCTTCCACCCTTCGTCTCCTTTGCTGCTAGACATCAAGATTTTCAATCTCTCTATTGACTGTCGCATCTCGGATAGGAGCAACACAACGTATCATCAAGCCGCGGTTTGTTTGGCCTGGCATAAACAAGCACGTCCAAACTTAGTTTCCTTCTTTCTTCAACTGAAAACGCGTTGAAGTCCACCGACACTGGTCGATGAACTTTAGATAGGTAAATAGCCATTGTGGGATCCCTTCCGTTATCAGATGGATATTAAATATATTGAGCTGTATTTACAGGTCTACCCGTTGGCCGAAATCATTAGCCATAGCAGACATCAATCCACAAACCGTAGCAAAGAACTTGGTGAGTTGATGGATAGCCTGCTTCTGAGCATCGACATCTTTGACCACAGTGAGAAGCTGATAGTTCCAATTTGCCTAATTTTACGAATTTACAAAGCTTCAAGAAACTACCCAAATTTGTATGGCAGCATACCACTCTGTCAGCAGGGAAATGATTGAACAGTTCCACGGAAACCTGAAAGCTTTATTCAAAGCTCCTGAACACCGCATCAACTTTAGCACTCCACTTCCCATCGTGCTTCTCGGCTTCCGCGTAACGCATAAAATATACATCGACTGCACACCGGCTGAACATGTCTAAAGATTAGAGCTACCTATTCCCGGAAAGTTCCTCCACTTGTTGATGCGTTGTGTTGCTCCTACCCGAGATGCGACAGTGAATGCCCCAGAAATGCGATCCTGCGAACTATTGCCGCGCGCCAAGTAGGCAGCGCGGCCGTAGCCTAACGGTTATCGCGCTTGCCTCCCACGCGAATGGCCAGGGTTCGATTCCTGGCCGTGGCTACGCATTTTTGTTTATACTGTAATGTGATGTTCTAGTGAATTCGAGAACTGTCTAGCTGATTCGAGGTTGGAATGTTCTACGCGTCGAACCTTCTACATCGAATGCTCCAGAAGCCAACGCGTGTACAAAAGCGGCTCCGCCTGGCAAGCAGGAGTCAGTTTCGCCTCAGCGTTCGATCTTGCTGCTTCGCCGCCTTCGACGCCCGCGACGCTCTGTTATTATCTTTATTGCTCCTTTTACTTTTTGGGCACAAGGTCGCCGGATTAAACGTTCAGTTTACTCCGTTATTCGCCGCCTCATCAATTGTCACTCGTGACATTTTGGTGGAGGTGCGGGGTACCGCATGTCCGTGCAGCGCAGCCCTCCGAGTTCCCGCGCTACAAGTCCGAACGAAAGCTCCTGAGGACCCAACGAAGACCAGATCGAGACTCGATCAAGTCGCCGAACCCAAGGGCTACACCCGGAATACGGACTTTTACCACCCAGGACCAGGCAGCCGACGATGGCCAACCAGTCGCAGACCCCCGCCGCTCCTACCGTCGTCTACCTACCCGTCGCTCCTCGAACACCGGCTCCATTCCACGGCGAACAGTACGAAGACGTCGAAGACTGGAACGACCAGTATGAACGCGTTGCCCGCCACAATGGCTGGACCGACGAGCAGCGCCTGCACAACGTCTACTTCTCGCTTGAGGGGACCGCCAAGCACTGGTACGAGAACCATGAGTCCTCTTTGACGTCGTGGGACATTTTCAAGACCGATCGGAAGGCTATGTTCGTCAACCACCACCGCCGAGAGAGAGCCGAGGACCTACTGCGAACAAGGACCCAGGGCCCCAATGAAAGCGTCACGAGCTTTGTGGAAGACGTGCTTCGCCTGAGCTCCCGCGCCGACCCTCAGGCCACCGAGGGAAAGAAACTGCGCATTTTGATGCGGGGCGTGAAGGACGACATCTTCGGAGGCCTCGTCCGCAACCCGCCGGCAACCGTCGACGCCTTCGTCAGCGAGGCGACAAACATCGAGCGCGCCCTCCAAGCGCGCGCTTCCCACTACCAGCGGCAGCCAAGCGTCACTGCAACCGCTCTGCTTAGCGGCGAAAACGCTCCTGGTACGGACATCCGCGAAATCATCCGGGAGGTCGTCCGGGAGGAAATCCGCCGGTTGCTGCCAGCTGCAAACCGACCAGCGACGCTCTCCATCGCCGAGGTTGTGCGGGAAGAAGTTCAGAGAGCCATCCAACCAGAGGCTCCCGTCGCCGTGGCAGCCACCGAGGAGCCCACGTTGACTTACGCCGCAGTGGCCCGACGGCCACTGCCTCCTCCTCGAGCCTATGTTGCGCCGCCCCGACGACACTCTTTTGCGCCGCAGCACGACCGACGCTGCGACGACCAGCTCCATTACGCCAGTCAGGAGCCCCGTGCACCCCGGAAGACCGATGTGTGGCGAACGCCCGACCGACGCCCTCTGTGCTTCCACTGCGGGGAAGCAGACCACACCTACCGCCGATGCCCATACCGTCGACTCGGGCTGCGCGGGTTCCACCTGAACGACCCGCGACCCCGTTATGGTGAACGGCCTCGGGAAATCGACGAATACCTGCGACGACCTCAGTCCCCCGAGCCTGCGTTCCGCCGAGAGTTCCGGTCGCCTTCGCCACGACGTCCAGCTTCGCCGATGCACCGACCCCGACGTGAAAGCCTGTCGCCCCTCGCTCCACGCCGGGGAAACTAGGCGCGGCAACCCCTGGAGGTGGAGTTGCCGAAGACGACCGACGCCACGATCCTCCACGAACGTCGGAGGGCCCCCACTCTAACGCTACCAGAAACCGGCAGCGGTGTCCAATAACCTAAATGTCGTCATTGACGGGCACGACGCATCAGCACTCGTGGACACCGGAGCAGACTACTCGGTCTTGAGTGGGAGGCTCTCCCGCCGCCTTCGAAAAGTCACCACGCCGTGGGATGGACCACAAATACGAACCGCCGGAGGGCACCTCATTGCACCAGTCGGGAGATGCACTGCTCGCGTCGAGATCCACGGTGAGACATGCCCCGTGAAGTTCGTCGTTCTGCAAGACTGTTCGAGGGACGTAATCCTCGGAATGGACTTTCTCTGCGAGTATGGCGCCGTCATCGACCTCGGGGCAAACCAGTAGACGCTGCGAAAGCCTGTTGTGCCACCGGTGGAGGCCAACACTACGTCATCCGCGATCCGAGTTATAGCCGACCATGTGAATCTGCCGCCGCGATCGAGTGTTTTCGTCACCGTCATAACCGACGCAGCCATGCACGGTGAAGCTCTTCTGGAAGGCAGCGTCCAACTGCTCTTTGAAAAAGGAATTGGCGTCGCACGAGGCGTAACGGATCTTCAAGAAGGACGAACAACTGTTCTCGGGTCAAACTTTCGAGAGGAACCGCAGCACCTGACAAAGGGTACCACTGTGGGCCACATTGACGAGCTTCAGGCGCCAGTCGTGGTCACCGCAATCTCCGAAGAAAGCTCGTCGAAGAACAGCACGCCGCCGCCGCCGATCGACATTGACCCCGAGCTCCCAGCTCCTAAGCGCCGGCAACTGGTTGATCTCTTCGCTGAATACCGTGACTGTCTTGCCACGTCGTCGAAAGTTCGCCAAACACCAATGGCGAAACATTGCGTTATTACCGACGACGACGCGCTCCCTGTCCACCAGTCGCCGTATCGAGTCTCCTTAAAGGAAAGGAAGATGATTCAGGATCAAGTCCAAGAAATGCTCGACGACGACATCATTCAACCCTCAAGAAGTCCATGGGCGTCCCCAGTCGTCCTTGTAAAGAAGAAGGACGGAACCCTGCGATTCTGCGTGGACTATCGTCGACTGAACGCTGTGACGAAGAAGGACGTCTATCCGCTCCCCCGCATCGACGATACGTTAGACCGACTGCGCCACTCCCGATATTTTTCGTCGATGGATCTGAAGAGTGGCTACTGGCAGATTGAAGTCGACGAACGCGACCGGGAGA